GGAAAACCAAGCTTAGTGAGGAGTGGGAATCTCAGAAGTGTCAGGGTGGTCATGGAGGTGAACGTTGTCTCCCTCTCGGACATCTCCTTTTTTCCCTAAAGAACTCAAATGACCCATTTGAAGCAGTACTTCAGCTGGCACGCGGCTGCACTGCCCCAATACAGAGGGGTTTGGGCCGTGCTGGCTTTGGTACCCGCTCGTGTCCCGCTCCACCTCTTTGGGCACCTCCTCGGGTGCCGCTGGCCCCGGCTCTCTGCAATCCGCGTCTCGCTGCTCCTCGGATGCAGCGCGGGATGCGTCGGTGCATTCAACGGCACTCGGTTCCCGGGTGTCCGTTCCGTCTTGACCTTGATTCTCATTGAAGCCTTGAGCAGCATTTGGCTAATTGGATGAGTAGGAAAGACCCCGCGATGTAGGTCAAGTGTTCCCGGCTCGACGGGCCCAAATTCCCAAGAGGAATTTCCCGTCCAGCTTGGGGAGAGCTGAGCTGCTTTTCTGGGCATGGCGCTTGCACTGCCAAAGGCTGTTCCTTGCTGAAGGAGTATGGAAATAAATTTGCTGCCTCCAAGTTCTGCGGCTGGCGTTGGGATTCTCCTGCTAGAAAACAGGCAGGAAATCCGTGTTGGAGATGGGATGAAGATGAAATGCAATGGGCAGGTTTGACTGTGTGGCCGCTGGGAGCAAGCGGCACTTCCAGCTAAGAACTTCCCAAGCTGCTCTGGATTCCGTGGCCTTTACAGAGTTTACATTGCGCTTCCACGAGGCACCAGAAAGAAGCCCAAAGTTACAAGAAATGACTACCCAAAGTGCTGGAAGGGGCAGTTTTCATCCCTCCTTTACATGGCTGAAAACCCGCAGCAAGAATCCACAAGTGCATTTGTACCAAAGCTTTCTGAAAAACCTTTGTGGATTGATGCTTTCTTTCAGGTCTTGACTCCTACTCTCTTAAACCTTAGTTCACTTTGAGGAAAAGAAGAGATGTGCTGCTTTAATGGAACTGGAGTTCCAGAAGAACGAGTAGTATCAATGCTAATGTTACCATTTCCTCAGAAAAATATCAGATCCCAATGAGAACTGGAGAAACTTTTCACATGCAAGAGTGAAGAATATGGTTTTCTCAGTTTTCCAAGCTTAAAGGACACCCAGTAGCTGGGCAGGGCAGGGGGCTATAGAAAGACAACGGGGGACAATCTGCTGCTGATGGGCCTGGTCAGAATTGCTCTTTTTGCTGTTCGTGCTGGCAGGCGAAAGCTTCTGAATACCCATGCTCCGGGGGGTGGGAAGGTGTGGGAAAGTGAACAGAAGGGTCCGCAAACCTCAGCTGCACCTTTTCAGGAAGAATCTGGGTTAGACCATGTATGTGGGGCTAAGGCAAAGCCAAGACTGAGTCTTCAACTTCCACCTGCTTCTCCGAGTGACACCCTGATCTTTTTGTAAGCACAGCCGAAAGGCAGAGGAGGGAGAGCTGAGTCCTCCTTGCTTCCCTTCTAGGCTGTTGTCAGTTGTTGGGGCTGCTTTTTTGGGTTCTCTCCCTCTAGTTTTTGAAGAGAAAGGAGTGAAATCTGGAACTGGAGAAGGGGTGCAGCTGGCTGGATGCACAGGGTGATGCATACAAGGCTGTGTAAGAGGTTAGCGCTTCGTTACGGGCATCTCTGCCCTGGTGGGACTCGGGTGTTCAGAGGAGCTGAATCCCCCCTTGGTGCAGAGTCTGGAATACTGCTGCTCCCCAATTTCCTTTCCTTTTCTAGTATCTCTTGCCTTAAAACGTCTTTGCCGAGATGAAGCTGAGCTGTTTCCAGGTCTGCGTCATGCTGCCCGCTCCAGCCTCGTCCCTTTTCCGAAGGATCCGTGGATTTTCTGCAGCACCAGGATTCCTCTTGCTCCACTGCTTGCGTTCCCTTCCTGCCAGGCCCAAGGAGCCGGGCGCTTTCCTTCCCTGGGATAAGGAGCCTCGTGTTCCTGCAGCCATTTGGATGCCCTCGCAGGCTGGCCTGGGGAGGGGGTTCTGTGGGTCCCTGTGCTGCCATTTGGGCACGGCCTTCCCCTCTGGCCAGGGCTTGTAAACTGTGGTGCCAAGGAGGCCTCCTTTGAGGAGCAGAGGGTTTTCAGGGGGTTTATGCAGCGTTTGGTTTCACAGACTGGTGCTTGGAGGGGATTCTGTCTCTCTGGCTTCTCTTAAACTTCATACATAATTTTTTTTTTATGATGGACCCACTGGGAGCATCTGGATGGCCAAGTCGGCAAACTCTGAGCATCAGCAGCGTTCCCCCAGCCTTGCCGTAGGGAATTCTGGCTGCCCGTAGGGAATTCTGGCTGCCCGCCTGGAAAAGCTGTTTCTCAGGATGAGGGTTTGGGCATCGGGCGCGTTTCCCAAAGCCGGCCGTCCCGGTGACTTTGTTCTATTTAAACTGCACTAATTGCCTGGTGCTCACGAGATGAAACGTGTCCAGTGATCCAAGTCGGCTGCAGAGCTGCGCTCTTGTCCCTGCGCTCGCACTAATTGCTGGGTTTTGCTTCTCCTCTTGCTGGGTGTTTTCCTGGAGTGTCGGTTTCCAAAGCCTGTTTTATGGCATAGGAGTAGTGGATCAAAAGGACGTTGTTTCCACTTAGGCCTTGCACATAAAGCCACAGGTAGCTTCTTTGCATCTCTTTCTCCTGTCATACCTTGCTTTATTTCTAGTTTTAGGCTTGCATTTCTTGTGCTATTTTTTCCCCGGAATGTTGGGATGCTGAGGGCAACGTGACACGGAGCTCTTTCGGTATCTTTCCCCCTTTGATATTTCCTTTTTCTTGCGTGCTCCTCTCCTTGCTCTCTGGGTTTCCAGTAGCTATAAGGACATCAGTGAAACAGCCTTGGGTCCTCTGATCCCTTCCTCCTTCCCTGCGTGGGTCTCTGCTTCCCCAGGTGCTTTCCGAAGGCAGTTTCCATCACTACGAGGACATCCATGTCCTCAAACCAACTCCAGATGCTCCAGGCCCTGCACCTTGGTTCCCCGCGGGCCGGGCCCGCTCCGGCAGCAGGATCAAAAGAAGAGGAGCAAAATAACCTTCTCCATGTCCGCAGGCTCCGGTGGGGCCAGGCCGTGCGTGGTGCTGGGGTCGGGACTCTGCATTTCTCTCGCGGTAAAATCGGCCGTTCTGGCTCCCGGCGCGTTCCCAAGGGGATGCGGTTTGAGTTGTGTTGCTTTGGAATCCGCGTCAACGGCTAACTGGGAATCGCCAACGCTTCCCGCGCGCGGTTGGGAATGGGCCGTGCTGATCCCCTGCCCGACCTCCCCGCTCCGGTGGTGCAGAAACCCCGGATCGGTGGTTCGGAGGGACCTCGGGATGTGTCCGGTCCATCCTGCTCGGAGCAGGTTGGCTCTGGAGAGCCTGCAAGGAGGGAGGCTCCTCGGCCTCTCCGCTCTTCGTCCGTCCTCGCTGCCGAGAGATCCCTCCTTGTGTCAGGGCTTCACGTCGATGGTGCCCAAAGTCCTGCGGCCGGTTGGGAATCCTAAATGAACGGGATTGGCTGCTGGTGCAAATCTAGAAAGCAAAGGGGTCTCGTGGGAATGGCTTTAACACCTGCATTTCGCGTCCTGTTGCTGTGGGCACCCTTAACTATTTGTGGCTGCTCTCAAAATGGAGTGGAAGGGAGGCTGATTCCGCAGGGAGTGCCAGCTAATCCCGCTTAAATCCATTTGAAACTCTTTCTGGATGCCCTGTAAAACAAGCAGGGCTCCTCGCGGTCAGCCAGGCTTGACCTAAGTCACGGAGCAGGCTCGGGAATAGCTGCGGAAATTCCTGGGAAAGGTGGACTTGAACCTGCACGTGCTGAACGCGGCGAGAGCCACAGGAAGGGAAGGTAACGCTGAGCGGGAACGCGGCGGCTGCGCAGGGCTGCTCCAAAGCGCTTCCCAACGGGAACCAAACCGCGGAGCAGCGGAGCTGCGCGTTGCCTGGGGGAAAAAGGTGCCCCGGGTTAAGGGCAGGTGGGAGTTCTGCACAGCTGTTGGAAAGGGATGATTTGGAACTGCCCATTCCGTTTTCTGGCATCTCTTCTGGCTTTGCAGCGCGTGTTTTGATGCAGACGCGCTGTTTAATTTGCTTTCTGACTTTGCTTTATCCTTTGGGATTTAAGGGCTGGTATGCTGGGTGTAGATCAAAAGCAGATGATTGGGAAGGAAATGGTACTCACCCCCTTCCAGCAAACGCTGTAAAACGTCGGAATTATATCGAGTGCCTAATGGATCCATTTGGGGACATAAGCTTCCCGCTGTCACTTAATGCATAGTCTGGATTAGTGCTCGTTTCGGCTTTGGTGCTTCTTGGCGCTCGCTGACCCGGGGCGCTCTCCTCATGCCTTATGGTGGGCTCCGTTTCTACCAGCACTGGGCTGGAACGAGGGCAGCCCTGGGGGCGATGAAGCTGCTGAAGAAATGCCAGAATTGAAGGATTTTTCCTTTTTCAATGTGGTTTCCTTGGGGATAAAAGGCCCACTAGCGATGCCAACCGTGTCAAATTGTCACTCTGGGTTTGGAAATGACACGTCTTCTCCAGGCCGTTTCTGGTAAACCTTTGCAGCTGTGAGCAGGAACTAGGCTTGTTGGGGCATGAATGCTGATTAAAACAGGCTGTGAATGATGGTCGGCTCCGGAGCAGCCGTGCGTGGCCTCAGCAGACTCTGTGTGTTTCTGGTTTTGGTACCTTGGATAGTTGCAAGCAGCGAGGATTGGGATTTTGGAAGTGTTTCCCGAGGTGCCTTGGCAATTCCTGAAGGGTTCCCGAGTGCTGCTGCTGTCCCGGGAGGGCAGCCCATCCAAAATGCAGGCTGGGAGCAGCGTTAAGGCAAGTGCATTAGCAAGTGCTGCTGCTTCCAGCTGAAAGGGCTGGTGAGGAGACCCGGGAAGGCCCAGGTTTGTCCTCGCCTGTGTCCTTGGAGCTGTGCAAACACAGCCTAAATGTAGCTAAAGAGAAAACGCAGCTGAGTAACTTGTTCTCAATCTGCTCTTTGCTTTCCAGGTCCTGGAGAAATATCCTAATACACCTATGAGCCATAAAGAAATTCTTCAAGTTATCCAGAAAGAAGGACTTAAAGAAATCAGGTGAGTTAAGTAGCCGTAGCGGGATAACACTTTGGTTGCAACCGAGTTTATTATCAAACCCCATCTCCTGTGCATCTTTGGGGCAGAAATAGTAAATGCTCACAGAAGACAGAGGGAGGAAGGACAAGCAAACAAAACCCTGCCAGGTCAGTGGCGCTTTCCCTGAGCAAGGTTATGAACAAGGACATTCTTCATTTCCAGACACGCGGCTTCTGCTCCGCAGCTCTGGGGCGAGAGGCAGCTAGGCCTGGTCAGGTAGGGGAGGCTCCAGCTGTTGAAGTTAACTTAATCCCTTCTTATTGCATCTTTAAGGAAAGGGGGAGAGGGAGAATATAGCAGACAGCTTAATGGAAACAACCTCAAAGTGCCCAGCTGAAATCTTAACAAACAAAACTCCCTTAGAAAGCCTTTTATTTTATTTTTTTACGTATTTTTTCCCTCGTGTTGGTGGTGTTGGTGGCCTGGTGTGTGTTTCTACCGCATAGACCCTCACAATCACTCGCTGCACAGAGGGGTGCAGTGAGTGCCCTGCTGTGGCAGGGCAGGAGAGCTGGGGTGATGTTCTGGGTTGCTGGTACCTTGGCGTAGCCCTCGAGCCCTTGCCCGCTTTGGGATGGACGTGGTTATTTACTCACATCAGGTAACTGCTTTGCAGTAGAATGTACTTCTGTTTCTGCTTTCTGATAGCAAAGAAAAAAGGGCAAAAGGAGGTGAACACAAGTTCATCCATTTAGTAATGGAATAACTGACCATGTCCGGTTTAGGATGGCCGCATTCTCCCTGCTCTTTGCCTGGTTCAATGTAACACTTGCAGGTTTTTTTTGTCTGCTTTCTTGCAGTAATGCAGAATGGTGTTTTCGAGCCTCGGGCAAGGGCTCTGATACGCTGGTGTGAAACGTGCAGTCTGGCTGGTCAGGCCGGAGTTTCGAGTGAAGGGCAAAAACCGCAGGAGAAGTGACCTGGTTCCGGGTAGTGTTGCTCAACCTGAAGTTTTTCTGTCGCTGGGGTGAGGATTTAGCCTGAGCAGATAGTCGTTTCCCTTTGAGGTGCATCAGGAGAGCAAGAGCTCCCTGATGTTCTGAAGTATTTTAAATCTCCCAAAGCCAGAAGCTAGACTTGCTCTCTCTGGTCCAGCTATCCCTTGTACTAACGTAGTGTTTGGGTGCCAGATAGTGGTGTTTCCCTTTAAGCACAAAATAAATGTAACGCAGCTTTATTTAGGTTAGGACTTCAGGTTATCAGTTCTCAAGCAGTTCAGTTCCCATTAGCACCAGTAACGTGTTTGCCTGGTGGCTGGATTGGGCTTCTGGTAACTCACAGCTAGTGACAGATGGACTTAAGGCAAACTAATGTTTATTAGCAGAAACGAATTTGGGGGAAGAACTAAAAGCTGCAAGGTGAGCGCATGGAGCTGCCAGATTTCCAGCCCTCTGGATCTGAGGTTATAGGAGGAAACCATGGCACGAAGCAGCAATTCCCTGTACCTCCCTGGCATGAGACAGGAAAATTGCAGGTGTGATGGAGGCTGTGAAGGTTGCCTGAACACTTCAGTAAACCTGTCAGTTTTCACTGCAGTGCTTTCCATGTTCAGCACCTATTGCCTCATTTAAAACAGTATATCTGCTCCCTTTCCATGTTTGCTTTCCGGATGGGAAGGAATTTTAGGAGTGACAACTCGCTTACCCCCAGACTCTGGGGAATGAGGCAGGGCCGAGGGGACCCAGCTGGTGCCCCGCAGTCATCCCGTGTTTGGTGACGTGGCCAGCTGGCTCCTTTCTCCTCTCCTGACTCGTGGCACGTGCTGCCAGCTGGAAGGAGGGCTCGAGGACACGCTGAAGGACTTGGGACACGCAGGGAAGGGTGGCGATTCCGATTAGTGCGGGGACAAGCAGTGACTCCTGCTGGTGCAGGACGCGTTGGACAGGGCTGCGCCTTTCCAAAGCGCCTCCCGAGTCCCGCAGAAGCCTCGGGTGGTGGTGACTGCTCATACACCTGCAAAAACAGTTATCCTCGTACTGGAATAAGCACATGCGGGCAAAGGAAAAAGCCTAACGAGCAAGAGGCTGCTGTTGGCAGGATGAGGAAGGATCCTTACAAGGATCCTTGCATCCTTGCTGGAAGGATGACGCTGCCCGGATAAGGACCCCCGAATGACCCTGTGTGTTCCTGGCAGGACACTCTGCCACTGAGGTGTTTCACAGATGTTCCTTCATCAGACTGTGCCCCTCTCCTCCTCTGCAGTGGGAATGCGGCCGGGAGAGGCGCCGCGTCGCGTGTCCCTTCCCTGAGGCGCCGCGTCGCGTGTCCCTCCCCAGAGCCCAGGGCAGTTCTCCATTCCCAGCCGGGTTCTGGGCAACGCTCAGCCCAACAGAACCTCTGCTCCCGAGGCGCACGTGGCAGCTATGGGGCACTGACTTCCCAAAGCCCCCCTTTGACGTGGAGTTCCGTAATCTCCTTGGAAAGGACCCACTGCTAGGTGTGAGGATGGAGAATGGCTTAATATGGGCATGATTTTTGGAGCTGGGGAGTGGAAGCTCTTTGGAAAAAGCTGCTGCCCCTACCAAAATTGTTAGGGTTTTCTCTTCAGAAAGTTGTTCTTGAAAGCCCCAGTGGGTCTAACCTACCCATTAGGGAATGAAAGGCCCTCCTGGGCAAAAATAATTCTCTTCGCCTGGAGAAGAAAATTGGTAGAAGCTTTTCACTGTCTTCAGAGATGTTTTTAAGATGACAGTGGGAGAAGTCCAGTATCCAGTATCTGGGGTATGACAGGGCAGCCTCTCCCAGCCGCTTCCCAGGCGGTCCAAGCGGAGCTCAGGCTTTCCCTGCTGGAGCTAATGCCCCTGGACGGGGCACTGCACAGACCCTATGGGGGTGCCAGGCCTTGCACTGTCACCACAGGCTGAGGTCACTGGTACAGTTCAACTTCCCAACATCGCGTTAACATGATTCCTCTTTAGCCTCGAAAGCTCTTCAGTGTCTTCAAAAGTCAAGGGACGTTAAAGCATAGGCTGAATTCTTGAAAACCCTCCCTGATGGCTCGAGAGGCGTAGCTTTGCTTTCAAGAAATGAAGTGTTTGCCTCAGCTCCTCCTGGTTCTTGCCATGACCTTAGCGCAGAAGAGCATCCGTAGCGCATTCAGTGCATGCTTTGACGTGGAGGCCCTTCTGCTGTAGCTGTATCTGCGTGACGGCAGGACCACGAGCTTGCTCAGTTTGCAAATTATAACATTATTTATCAGTCTGGGGCTCCTGCAGCTTGCGGAGCACCGCTTTGAGCAGCTTTGCGTTCCACACTTCACCGTGCAGGAGGGGTTTCGGGATGAGTTTTGTCTTCATCCTTGTTGTGACCACAACACCAAGGAAGCAAGTTCTTGCCCTGCAGCTTGCTTCCCGTTGATGCCACCTGTGCATTCTTCCCAAAAGCCCGTGTCTTGCACCCGAGGGCTGGATAAATTCTTTTGCTTCCAGCAGTTGCTTCCTAGGCCCCTCCATGCCGTGCCGAGGAGCCGGCGAGCCGTGTTGGCCAAATGCTTTTTGCCACCGAGCACCTCGAGTCCGAGCGCTGCTCCGTGTGAGGACGGGCTCTTCCTCCGCGCTCCGAGCAGGAGCTCGGGCTCCTGGGCTGGGTGACCTTCAGTGCCGGGTTGTCCCTCACTCCCTGCTTCCAGCCTCGTGCTCCTTAGTGAAGAGGCTGCTCTCCGGGATGCATGGAGCCCTGTTCTTCCAGCTTCAGTGCCCCGTGCCGCCGCATCCCGCAGCGCTGCGGTGCCTCAAAGCCCCGTTCCCGGCTCGTTTGCGGGAAGGTGGCCCTGCTGGGGACACTGTCCCCCACGCACAGACACGGCCCGTGGAGGAGGCCCTGCTCTGCTCCCGAGGAGAGCTCTGTTCTCCCCGCTCCGTGTGAAGCAGCACGTCGCACGCAGCTACTGCGCGTTGCGAATGGCTCCACCGTGCTGCGATCACCCGACACGCTCAAACAACCCGTGGCTTGGAGAGGAGTTCCAGGTCAGCGGTCGGCTTGACAAATGCAAACAAACCGCCTAACCTGGAACGTCTTTGGGTTCGTGTCACGTGAATTTGCTAATGTCGATGTGGGGAGGGCATAGCACGGAGGCTTCCACGCAGCCCAGGCGTTGGGTTGTCTATTACATAACACCAGGACAGGCTGGGGACTGACCTTCTGGAGAACAGCTCTGCAGAGAGGGACCTGGGCGTCCTGGTGAACAACAAGGTGACCATGAGGCAGCAGTGCCGTCGTGGCCAAGAAGGCCAATGGGATCCTGGGGTGCATTAAGGAGAGCGTCTCCAGCAGGTCGAGGGAGGTGATCCTGCCCCTCTACTCAGCCCTGGTGAGGCCACATCTGGAGTATTGTGTCCAGTTCTGGGCTCCACAGGACAAGAGGGATGTGGAGCTGCTGGAGAGAGTCCAGCGCAGGGCTATGAGGATGATCAGGGGCCTGGAACATCTGCCCTATGAGGAGGCGCTGAGGGAGCTGGGCCTGTTCAGCTGGAGAAGAGAAGGCTGAGAGGGGACCTGAGCAGTGTCTAGAAGTACCTCAAGGGAGGCAGTGAGGAGGATGGGGCGGCCTCTTTTCACGGGGGGCCACCGACAGAACTAGAGGTAACGGCCACAAACTGAAGCACCAAAAGTTCCACAGGAACTTAAGGAAAAATTTCTTGCCAGCGAGGGTGCGAGAGCCCTGGAACAGGCTGGCCAGAGAGGTTGTAGAGTCTCCTTCTCTGGAGCTCTTCAAACCCGCTTGGACGCAGCCCTGTGCCACGGGCTCTAGGTGACCCTGCGTGGGCAGGGGGTTGGACTAGATGATCGCTAGAGGTCCCTTCCAACCTTGAGCGTTCTGTGATTCCGTGATTCCTCTCCATAAACCCCCCAGGACCTGGTGCCCTGGGTTCTGTCACAGCAGGGTACTCGCCTGCCGCACTGGGTTTGCAGCCCGGCCCTTCAAGGGTGCCCGGTTCCACCAGGCCCTCGCGGAATTCCCTGGTGGGAATTCACCCCAGAGCTGCCCTGGGTTTCTGCATGAGTATGGGAGCCAAAGCCTGGGCGAGGGTTAGGGGCGATGTGCGTAATACCAGGGAATTGTACAGGGATTTGAAAAATAATTGTTCAAAGATAACGAATACAGAGACCAGTCGCTACCATTAGCAGGGAATGCTAAATACTTTCATTGTGTGTAGGAGAAGCTTTGCCTCGGTTATCACTTATTTCTGTTATTTCTCTAAAGGTAGGAAATCCCTGGTGAACAGGATCCCGTTTCCCTCGGCTGAGCCGATAGGAACAGCAGTTTTTGCTGTCTCCCCAGAACAGAACGAACGTCCCTTTTCCCCCGTTGTACCGGGGGTAACGTGCTCCCTGCGCAGGGAGCAGCAGGGGGGTGCCGCAGTGCTGGCTGCTCGGGATCCCAGCGGATCCAAACTCTTCCATGGAGGTGCCAGAGCTCGGGTGGCCTCCAAGGACACCCAGGTCTGAGCCTCAGGACGGGCCCCAGGCCTCAACGCGCTGGTGCTTCTGTGGTGGAAGTGCAAAGGGCAAAACCCTCCAAGCAGACACAGTGCCACCCCCGGCCCCTCGAGAGAGCCCTCCAGGCCGTGGGGTCCTTCGTCAGTGTGGGTGTCCTCCAGCACCCCAATGTTACGGAGCCCCTCTGACCGCTCGGGTTCCTCGGGGTGTCCGCGTGCTTTTCCATGGGTGCTCCTGGGCTCCAACTCCTGGTGCTGCCAGCCTCGCTTTTGGGCACCAGTGGTTCTGGTCACCTCCAAAAGCCCCCCAGACCCTCCTCCTGCCGGGTTGTCCCCAGGCAGCGGGTGACAGTCCCACGGAGCTCCGAGCCTGCCTGGGACTGGGACAGCCCACGCTTTGAGCACGGGGAAGCAGCGGGAAACGTGGATCTCCGTGCTGCCGTGGCACTGCCAGAGGCTTCCCCTGGGAGCTCCCTCAACAGGAGGAGGGTCAAACCTGTCCCTGATGGTTGCCTGGGGTTGGTGACCACTTCGGGACCTCTCCAAACACCTCTTGGGTTGCCTTGTTCGTGCTCACACTAAAGCTTAGTCTCAGACTGCCCAGACTGTTTGAAACTCCCTTCTGGTGGCCGGGGAGGAGGGTTCGTGTTACTGAGTAGAAACTGTTGTGCTCAAGTTCTTAAAGGGGTTTCTCTCCTTTTTTTGGGTTGCACTCCAACTCCAGAAGGTAAGAACCACTGCTGATTGTTCTAAAGCTGCTCTTCCGCATTAACGCCAGCTGCCAAAGCCTTGGTTTACAAAAAGCAACCGCTTGTGTCCCGCAGCCGTAGACGCCGCGTCCCGCCGCTGCGCTGCGCCCACCGGTCCCCTCGTGCATGCGGTT